AGCATGGGACCAGTAGTTAGCGTAATGGCTATGTCACTGGACTCCCACATAGTTGATTGTGGTTCAAGTCCTGTACCTGGCTACTTAAAAAACTCTCTCTGGGTGCATATGCATGCATGCCCAAGGTCCTAAGAGGAGAATGAAGTAGGGGGGCTGATTTCTCGCTTTCTGTCTCTCTGTCTCTCTCTGTCTTTCTGACGAGCACACGCGCCCTATAGTAAAAACCTCTCCAAAAAGAAATAGATAAATAATAAAAAAATAAAAAAATAAAAATTAAAAAAGTAAGCAGGTGGTGGGGTGGTTAAGGTACTGGACACTCCCACATGGCTGACCACGGTTCAAATCTCGGACCTGGTGGCTTGCTTTCTCACTTTCCTTCTCTCTGTGTGTCTGTCTTTCTCTGGTCAAATGAAAATGTTTGAATGAATAAATAAAATAACATAAATAATTCTTTTTTCAAAAGTCCTCTATTGGAGCCGGCAGGTGGCGTGGTGGTTAAGAGCGCTGAACTCCCACATGACTCACCGTGGTTCAAGTCTCGGACCTGGTGGCTTGCTTTCTCACTTTCCCTCTCTCTCTCTCTCTCACTCACTCTGTCTCTCTCTGCTCAAACTAAAATAAATAAATAAAATAAATACAGTTAAAATGTAAAAAAAAAAAAAAATCCTCTATTAAGTCTAATTAACCTGATCGAGAGAAGGCCCTCCCCAGGAGATGTGACCCAGAGGTCTGACTTTGGGGAGCCCCCTGACAGGTGAGAGTGTGGTATTAGCTGACCTCGAGCTCCTCCCACAAGGGCAGTCTCATCTCCAGGGGACATTGGGCAATGTTACAGACATTTTGGTTGTCCCAACTGGGGGTGCTACGGCCATCTGGAGTGAAGAAGCCAGGGATGCTGCTTACCCTACAGGGCACAGGGCCACCCCCCCACAACAGATAATTACCAGGGGCAAAATGCCAGTGGCGCCAAGGCTGGGAGCCTGCCCTAGGCTGAGGCAGAGGCACCTGCAGGTCTTGAGGGGCAGCAGGGCACCTGGGAGTTAGGCAACTTGAGGACTGTCTGGCAGTCCTGGAAGGCTTCCTGTGCAGCTGAAGGAAGTCCTGGGAGGAGGTCAAAGGGGAACTGGGAGAACAAGAGTGTCCCGTGACTGCTGCAGCCGGGAAGGCAGAGGGCGTGGCCTTTTCTCCAGTCTCCTCCCCACTGCCCAGTAGCCCTGACCTGTCTGGGCTCTGGCAGCTGAGAGGGTCAATAGGGAGCATCTTTTTCAGAGTTTGGGGCTGGGTGGCAGTGCCTGGGGGCCACACATGGCCCCACGTGGCCCTACAAACATCAGACATCGCAAAGAGCGAGCGAGCAGGGCACTTACCGCATTGGGGCAGAAGCCCAACCAGATGCCTGGCCTTCTTTGGTGAAGGGTAGGGCACTTGGTCGCCTCCCTCAGTGGCCCAGGGAGGTCCCCTCCTCCTCCACGGAAACAGGCATGAGTGGGCCAGCTGTTAGTCTCACCACAAGGCTGGGCTGGGGCAAGGGGCAGGACACTGAAAAGGGTCAGAAATAAGCCCCCTGGGTGGGGCAGGAGCGAGAGCACTTGGTGGGACAGAGTCCAGGATGAACCTGGGAGCGGGGAAGGCCATCACCAGATGTGACACAGAGATCCGGGTCGCAGAATCTCAGGACAGGACAAGGCCCTGGCCGCTGCCTCACCCTGAAGTAGGAAGTGGGAGGGGCTGGGGCCGTTGGGGAGGCCGGCAGAGAACAGCACCGGATTCTGCTCCCACCCTACCGGAGGCCTTGCAGCAAGAACTAGGTTTGAAGCAAGAGGAGGTCTCTTACCTCCTGAGAAGAGACTGGCTCTCCTGGGAAGCCTTAACCTCCAGGTCCTGCTTCACTCCCTGGGGTTGGAAGTGGGGCAAGTCCTCTAGGACTGGAGGGACACCAGCTGCCTCTCCCCCTAGCTCTTGGGGAGGCAGAGGGACAGAGGGGTTACAGTGAGGAGGAGCTCGGATTCAGTATTAAACAGGCTCAACCCTTTGGGCTCCTGGAAGGGGGACTTTGCCTGGGCGTGAAGCTGCCCCAGCCCCCTTTCCTAGGAAGCAGGAGACCAGGGCGGGAGGGAGGGAGAGCCTGGCATTCAGCTCTCCTAAGTGTCTGGTCCCTAGACGTAGTAGGGAGGAGTCGAGGCTTGGAAGTGACGGAGACCACTGAGAACCTTCAGCGGCTGGCTAAGGAGCTTTGAAGATCCCCAAAACGCAAGGAGGAGACCCTACAGAGCGACTTGAGCTGGACCCCACCCACCCTTAATTCAGGACTGACGCTGCAAGAAGAGTCCCGAAGAGGAGCCGCCAAGGAAAGGAATCAGGGGCGGGCTGGGAGAGGGAGAATCTGGGCTGAGAGGCCGGCAGCGAGGCTCCACCTCCATCCTCTCCAGCTCGCCCTGCCCGACAGCAGGCTGGGGGGGG